TGTAGCCGCCATTTTGTTTAAAAATGTTAATTAAAAAATTTTTTTATTTACTTCAGAACATGTGTAATAAACTCCTCTAAACAGATTTCCCATTTTCTTTATTGTATCTCCGTAAAAAATTATCAAAAACACTTCGTTTTTTCGAGCTCTAGAGTGGCGTTACCCTTAATTATTTAACGACATCAATAAAATGCGTAGCGCCGTTCCTAATACATTAAATTCAATTGACACTTGAAAGAAATAAAACAAATGCTAAACAGTCTTGTGATATGTATCATTTAATAAAAAATACTATATAATTATGTAAATATAAAAAGTGATCCGAAATTAGTGCCTGATTCATATGATTTTACCCTATTCAAAATTAAAGTAAAAGAAGTAACGATAACAAAATCGTAAAATTTATTTTCATTATAAAAAAATGTAACTCGTTACCATTACAGTTACTAAAAAAGAAAAATATAACGTTAGTAAAATAAGTTCGTTAGCAAAAAAGTAACTTGTAACGGTAAGACGTTACGAATAACGCGTTACTTCCATTCCCTAATTGTAGGTAAACTGATCGTAACAGAGAAATGTGATAAAACGCAGGGACGATTGATGTCTTGAGCAAAATTCTTCGCCTAACATAGACATATACCTAGTTTATTATAAAAATACTTAATATTTAATTAACGTTTTATCTAAAAGATTACTAAATAATACTATGTAAATAGAAGTTACATCAAGTTACATGGAACACTATTCATATTGAAACACTTGCAAAGCATTCACGTCTCGTATTCGTTACTACTACATTTGCTGATATATGTCTCTTACGTCATAGACTATAGAGACGTAAAAAATAAACCGCTTTACACAGTGTACACACATCAGCACATTAGATAGAAAACACTTGTGTTACCAATAATCCTCGGCTATGTCTGAAGAAAAATTGGTGAAACAAATTATGATAACGCTCGATGATAAAGAAACACCGTCAAAACGTATTGAAAAATTTATTCACATTTCATTTTCATTAAATAATTGATCGGAAAAATAATGATTTGAAATAGAGTATTCCAAGATGATTATATCTTTTCTCAGCGAAAATGTCGAAAGGGATTATTTAATGCAAATTTTCGAACATTTCGTGTCATAATACTTTTTTCGTAACTAACATCTAAGAGGAATTTAAAAGAGATTACGTTCAACTTTTCCATTAAATTTATTTTAAAATTAATTTTGCTTAGAAATAATACAAGAATAATTTTAGCATCTTGGACTTTTGCATTATCACGCTTAAAAAATATTTATTACCCGGGAACAAATATTTTATATATAATTATAGAAAATTATATA